ATTCAGTGACTGGGATAGTTGGGATGGGAGTGTCAGAGACAGTGCGATTGGCACAGGACAGAGCGGAGTTTAGGGCTGTTGTACATAGGGTCGCTGTGAGTCGCAGGCGACTCGATGGCACATAACAACAACAACATGGCACATAACAACAACAACATTATAGTAGACCCAAAAAAGTAAAGTTTACTAAAGTATACTGTATATTATGTTACATCCTTTCTATATATATTAGCTGTGGACTTACCTCTGCTTCTGGAAAACAATGGACTTTGTGTGTGTGTTTTTACTCATTTCTTAGAATAAGTATATCTGCAGAGTGGCAAGAAACTGTACTGCAATCCCAAAGTATGTATGCAGAACCAAGAAGATGACCACAGAGCCTGAAACTGCAGCCAGCTGTGTGTAGAATTCTATGTCATGACCTCTGGACTGCACAGAAAATGTTCAAACCACAATTAGGAATTCTGAAAATTCCGAGGATACTCGGTGACTGACCTAGTAATGATTTCAGAATTCATGAACATTTAGGAATTATGTTTCAAGTTTGTTCACTTAGAAAATGCTGCTGTTAAATATATAGATAGGTAGCCTTTTTAGTAGTATATTTACATAATGTATACATTTCTGGACATACATTAATATATATGGATTTATTTAAGATCAATTTCCGGAAGTTAAATTGCTTAAACAAAGAACACAAACCTTTTATAACACTTGATGTAATTGCTTTTGTAAATTGTTTTCTAAAGTTATTGCATAGTTTTACATTGTTCCTAGTTAAGTGGTTTCAGTTCTGTAGAACTAGTGAGTCTTCTGAGGATGTTTGGGGAGGTCAGCTCTCAGATGGTTTCAGCTTGATGGCATCTAACAACAGCAATTTAATCGGTGAAATATTTCAGTGTATATTTCTTTGATGATGAGTTAATGTTTACTTTTCATTGGTTTATAGTATTATAAGTTAAGTTATATTTTCCTCCCATTTAAATTATGGGATAATTTACCAATTTGGGAAAAGTAGGTTTTCAAAATCTAATCCTATTTTACTTTTTCTTTCAGCTCCAGTAATAAACCGATTCACAAGGCGTGCCTCAGGTAAGCCTGACCTATGTTATGGATTTTGCTTATTTAGGGTGACATTTTACAAACAGTAGGAATGGATATGAAGATATAAAGAGAATAACTGATGTAGCTTAATCATTTATCTGGTAGTCTTTTTACCAAGAAACACAGCTATGTGTAAAGAACCGGGAAATAACTGAAAATGAAGTCTTAGTGTTTAAACTGTAATTCCCACAGTATCCTTCCCCTGCCCCCCTATTGTCAGCATTGATGGAAGATTGTTGTTATGTACCCTGGAGCTGGAACCAACACATAGCCGACCCTCCAGAGGCTGTAAATCCCACGGAAGGAGACTGCTCATCTTTCTCCTATGAAGCAGCTGGTGGATTCAGAGTGTATGCCTTTTGGCTGGCTGTGCAGTTCTTTGCCACTGAGTCACCAGAGTTCTTTACTTTCTTCATTAATCTTCCAACCATTTCCTGGTGTTATTCCTACTTCTTTCTGTCACTACTTTCTCAGTCTTCTTTGATGCTCATCTTAACTGTTTATTTTCATACTTGTGTCCCAAACAAAAAATCAGATTGACAAAAATCTTATCAATGTGGTATTATTCTGGGAATTTCTGTGGTGCTGGAATGGAACCCATCATCAGTATATGGTCTGCTGACAGGTTATGAACATATGCTTTTTACAATGGAGACGTTTATCCTAGTTGTTTTATTCTTGTTCTGGATACAGTGTAACTCTGGTGGCTCAGTGGTTAAGTGCTTGGATGCTAATGGAAACGCTGATTATTCTAACCCAATCAATAACTGTGCAGAAGAAGGACTTGGAAGTCTGGTCCTGGAAGGAACTTGTCTAGAAAACCTGTGGGACAAATCTCCTGTCACGTGGAGTCCTTGTGAGTTAAGAGTGACTCAGTGGCATCTAAAAGTTAACCTGGTTATCTGATGTACCAGCCACAGTGTTGAAGCAGTGAGGATGAGTGAAGACCACCCTAAAAGCTGTGACAAGTGAGAGTTTTTATAAGGGACAGGAAAACCCTAGAAGTACAGATCGAAACATATCTGTACTTTTAATATAGGGCCCTGTAGGATCGGAACAAATTACATTTGCTCTTTTCTTTTAGATGACTACTGTCTTAAATGCACCACATTTTCCTAATCTGTATTTATGGTAATAGACCTTAGATGTTATTGACAAGTCTAGAGATCACTGAAGGAGCTTTGATGGTTTACTAGTAAGGAATTGTGCTGCTGACCCAAAGGTAAGTGGTTCAAATCCAGTAGTTGTGCTGTGGCAGAAAGATGGGCACTCTTCTCATATGATTTACAGCTTCTGTAAACCTGCTGTAGGTTCAGTTACAAGTCATTTCTCATTAGACTACAGTAAACAACAGCAACAGACATCAATTAGTGGTTAAATTAGGTTCAAGAATCTGTTTATAAGATATAATAGTGAACATTTCTATCATAAATGTGTTTAAAGTGAGTTTGGAATATAAATACTTTTTGTATGTAGCATTTGTATTTTTATTCTTTAATTTTTTTTCTCTTAAGTTCTGAGATAATGTGGAAAATTCATCTTTGTGCAGCTTCTCTAATGGTAGGGGACAAATCTTACTAGATTTGATTTGGGAAAATAACTTGTTCTTTTTTTGAAAATAATTCTTTCCTTGCAAATGTAACTGGAAATTTTGTGTTGAAAAACAACTGAAACGGAACTTCTTTGGAGTCTGTATAATACAGTCCAAATGAGTAATTTATTTCATATGATTACCTTATGTTATATAATAGTAAAATACTTTAACAACGTTCATTTTTATTTTTAATCTGTGAGAAGTTATCTGTGTCATTTACTCATTATATACATTGAACCAAGTCCGTAAATACGAAGACAGGAATTCGGAAAATCGATGGTTCTGGGATGGAACCTGCTTTACCTTCCTGAGCCTTACATTACCTCAAAGTATACAAGGGAAACATTATGTTTACAACAGTAAGCCATGAACTTATACCCCAGACTATGAAATTTCTGTCTTCCGATAAGGTATATGTGTCCTTTTATGAGCTGTGCTGGACACAGGACAGAAAGATAAAAGAGAACCAGCACTGGGAACTTTTGCCTTCATGACATAAATGCTTTTGATAGAAACGATAGGAGTTTTACAGTAGATGATCTCCCTGCAGTCCTGTTCCCCAAATAATTAAAAAAAAAAAGCATCAGGCAGGAAAGCACCAAGACTTTCATTGTTGATTGTTATTGTTGTGGGTTGTTTGAGGTTCTTTTCCCCTTGTTGTGTACCCTTGAATTGCATCAATTTGACTGGTCCAGGAGGAGATTGCCCCTCCTTCTTCAGTGGAGAATCTGGTGGATTTGAACCACGTACCTTCGGGATTGCAGCACAGCTTCTTGCCACTAGGCCACCAGAGGTCCCGTAAGACTTTCAACATTTAAAAAAGGTTTAAGAATAGTTCAACAGCAGAATATACTCTACCAAGATTTTTCCAGTGAGTACATTGCCATTTTAACACTCTCTTTGCTGCTTCTTCTCTTTCTGGGGCTATAAATCTTAACATAAGGAGAAAGTCCATCTTTCTCCCAAAGAGTACTGGTGGATTCATACCCCTAGAGACATGTGACCTTTTAATTAGAAGTATACTCCCTAGGTCACTGGAGCGCCTGCCTTCTAATATGGCTATCTTTTTCATTTCTAGCATTTACACATTAGGTTTCTAAGAAAAGATTATAGTAGTATCCATCAGTAGCTTTGTCTATGATTTTTTTAAAAAAAAATTATCCCATCAGTATTTTTTTAAACTTTTCTTTGTAAATTGGGTAAAGATTGACAGAGAAAATTGGCTTCAACACTGTATATACATTTTAGAAATTACCTTCCACATGATGCTAGACCACTGCCTGATTTTTTTTTTTAATCCATCATCTTATTTTTGAAAACATGAAACTTAGAGCAAAGTATAAAATTAGGTCAGAAAACAGCCAGTGTGTCCTTTACCTAGAGTCCCCATCTATTAATATTTTGCCACATCTGCATGTTCTTTTCTCTGTCTCTTTCTCACACACATACAAACTTTTTTATTGCACATTTTAAGAATTCTAAATGCTCAAGTGTGTTTCTTCTAAGAACAAGGACACTCTTCTGTATAACCATAATAGCATACTCAAGGAATTTGACCTTGGCACAGTGGTGCTATCTAATACACACTTTTGAGCCACATTTTCCCAGTATGTCTTTTTTTGAGAACTGGGGAGAGGGTGTGCAGCATTGTTTAAGGGCTATGTATTATATTTAGTTGTTGTGATTCAGTTTTCCTTGTTCTATAAATTGATTCTTTGAAATTTTTGAAATCTACTCTTTTAGAACTTTGGTGGTTGGGATTCCTAATGATGAAATAATTTCGTAGGTTACCTTTTGATGGTTGGTATTCCTAATGTTGAAATAATTTCATAGGTTACCTGTTATGCATTTTTTGATGATAAGGAAATAACCCAGTCTGTGCCTTATACCCCTTTGACATCCATGAAATCTTTGAAATCTTTGAACACTGAGTATTGCTTTCAAGGACTATTGCTGCTTATTACTTGTTCTGATAGGAATAATTTCTTTAATAAAAGGGAAAATAAAACCTCAGATTATGAATTTGCTAATGCATTCTCAAGCATAAGTTATTAACCATTTCTAATCCCCCCTATTTTCAATAGTGTATTAATTTCTTTAAAGAGCACATGTATAGTATATTGGTTTGTATACAAAATTCATATACATTGTTCTTCACACAGTCATATGTTTCATACGATCATTCCCCATACATTGCATTTTATAAAACCAGTCATCATTGCTCTGTGCTCACTATCAGCCTCTTTCAGGTCCCCACTGGATCTTTCCTAATTCCTTCAACTCGTCCCTTAGTTCCCTATCCCCCACCCCATCCCCCTTTAAACTTCTTTACATGTCTTATTAGTTACCCTCCTATTTTTGCATTAATGGTCTTAATGCTGTATTTGTCTTTATGAGACTGAGTTAGTTCACTCAGCATACTGGTTTCTAGCCTCTCTAATGTTATATAGTTTTTTTTTAAAAAACCGTTGCTCCTGACATTCCTAAATTTTTAATAAAAACATTAAATTTTATAGTATATTTTTAACAGAAGCTTTTCTCCAAACTCATATTTAGAATAATTTTTAGTTGAAAGCAAGTCTTTAAAAATTTCACACACCAATGATGTAAAATTACATATTAAAAGCCTCATAGAATTCATCCACACACACAGAAATCATTAGTTCCAACAAAAATGATCAAATAGCAAAAGTTCACATCTTGTCTTTAAATCTCATTCAGGGAACATAAATTTCCTTCTGTTTTTTGCTGGGTTTTTTTTTTTGTTTTTTTTAAGTATTTGTAATCTTGATCTTCTGTAAATAAACTTTAAAGTTATTTGGTGATACAGATTTTTCACCCTCAAAAGTGCTACTTTCCAGAGATGACCTGCTAATTTACTGGCACAAATATATTTACATGTATTTTTTTTTGAAATTACTTTCACTTTCGGCAGTATTTTGAGCTCTGTGGCCACCCGCTCACACTCACTTGTCCATAGAAGGAGAGTACAGCTTTCACTATCTAATAATTCATGGACTAATTCATTCAGCAAACATTACCAGATCCCTGCTGTGTGCCACGGAAGGCGCTGGGGATACAAAAAGAATAGAGCACAGCCCCTCCAAAGTTTGCAGGTGTCAGAGAAGCTCTTAGTGTGCTCAATCCCACAATATCCACAGGGGGAAAAGGAGAAACGGCTCTTCCAGGGTATAGGGTGCCATTCAAGCTGATTTTTAGGCTTACAATGCAGGTTTTAAAGAGGAAAATAAAGAAACGAGTGTTAGTGTTTTATCTCCACCAAAGCTACAGTCAAATCCCTCGATCCTGATTCTGACTCCTGGTTCCTTAGTATGTGACGGCATCGATTGAAATCTTTACTGTAGCAGATTTCCCGGCCTTACTTTCCTGGTAC